ATAAGTCACTTGTGATCTGTGAAATTAGAAAAGTTACAGAATAGCGTTTTGCTCTACTCATTTTTAACGTTTTGTATGTAAGAACTTCTATGTAATGAATTTGATTAAATAAAAAAAGTGTTAGGTTATTCAGTCAATCAAAAATGGAAGTGTAGCGCTATACAACTTACGGAAAGGCTATAATCTATTTAACTACTTAGTTCAGTCAAATATGTTGAAATCTCTCTCAATAATAATAAGTAATAATAATAATATATTTTTCTGATTGAGATCGTGAACCACTTGATGTTAAACTACCATCAATAACCTGGAAGCGCTGGAAGGCCGTTTCGTCCTATTGTCAGACTCCTCAGCGGTGCGAATTCACGACCCCCCTCACGGGATTCGAACCCAAGGCCTTCAATTTCACGCGCGAACATTTAACCTCTAGACTACTGAGCCGGTTGGCATCCAACTGTGTTAATGTCTAACCTCAACCAATCAATCGGTTCATGATCTCAATCAAAAACCTAATAATCTCCACAACCCTATACTGATAATAATAAAACTGAACATTAAAAAAACTAGACGAAATTTTTAGCTCAGATCTATGGATGTTTGGATTAAAATGAATTTTGAATCAAGTTCCGTTTTAATGATAAAGAAAAGTTCGTCTAGTTTTTTTAATGTTCAGTATTTTTTTATAATTATTTAACATAGCTAGTTTTTGTTGAACACTCTTAAGTGGTCTGGCTCACATTCTCTTTGTATCATCATGCCTAATTATCTTAATAATATGAACTCAAACTGAAGTGATTCACTTCATTGTTGCTAACAAAAACTAATTTATGATTTGTACATTATTTTAAAAAAATATAGAATTTCCATTCACAGCCATTTCCAAGTCGTTATAGAAGTCTGTTATTACTTATGATAAGATTAAGGAAAATTATACACAACTTTAAATCATTCTATAAACCTTAAGACTATTCCTATTCTTCCTTGTCTATTGAGAATTCAAGATATGAACTTCAAAACAGAGTAAATTGTCCAATTTTCTTTGGTTTAAATTAGTACCTTATCTAAATTATCTTTTTAGGAATTCAATTTACAAACTAAATTTATCTTCACAAAACTCTTTCAATTGAACTTTAAATAATTATTAATGAAGAGAGAATAATGTATGATTACATGTATACATCAGTAGACGAAGAACTTGTACTTCAAATTGTACAGGTAATTGTACTTGAAAATCAAAGAACCTTCTTCTTCTTCTTGTTAATAGATTCAACAATTATAATGTTTAATTTGAGAAGCCCGTGACCAGGGGAGCTAATCCGTGTCTGGTAGAAACAGATGTCTACCTCAGTACAATGAAAGATGGTCGCGCAACTTCGTGGATTGGTTGATGTTAGACATTAACACCATTGGATACCGGCCGGCTCAGTGGTCCAGTAGGTTAAGCGTTCGCGCGCGAGACTGAAGGCTCTGGGTTCGAATCCCGCGAGCGGGATCTTGCATGCGCACTGCTGAGGAGTCCAACAATAGGACGAAACGGTCATTCAGTGCTTCCAGGTTTTCAATGGTGATCTAACATCAATCGGTTCATGATCTCATTCAAAAATTTAACAATCTACACAACCACTAAACTGATAATAATTCTTATTTTGGTTTCTATATGTGAAGACGCTAATAAAATGCAGAATCTTTTGGTAGCACTGAGTAACTGTGCCAAAATTAACTACTTCTATGAATTCGGTGTTCATCTTGTTGTGCTAATGCGGTATGGCAACTTGGACCGATGTATATATGTGCCTGGTCTTATTTTGTAGCTGACTGACTGACTGATGTGTGAATTTCAAAATGTTTACCTGACTATCTTGGTCTGTGTTAGGTTGCTACTATTAATTTTTATGTCACAGAATAGTCTCATGTTAAAATAAATGTGACGTTTATTTTCATATGTATTCAAGTGATAACATTCTGGAAACTTAGATTAAATAACAATGAGACATCAAAATATATGAACAATATTGTTACTATCTCTAAGTTGTTCGTGGAACACATGCCATATTGTATCTTAAGTTTTTTCTAAAACAATATGACTACACTTGGTATTGCTTGGCTTGTATCTTCCCATTGAGGTTTAAGACTGCAATTGATCAGTCTGTTATTGGCATACGACTACAGTTTTTGTTTTGACATATATAAGTTGCCTCATGTGTTTAATGATCCTTGTTATTTTTGTTAATAGTTCTCATTTATTTCACTCATATACAACAAACAATAGAATTCATTATCATATTGGTTATTTGAATCTTCCCATTGATGTTTAGGACCGTAGTTGATCAGTCTGTCATTGACATATGTACATCTTACCGCGATATTGCCTTAGGTCACAAGCATTATGAACAGAGATAATTATAACAAATAAATGTAGACATTGCTATATAACATATTTTTATATAGCTCCATAATGAAATTTGGTATGTTCTAGAAAGTTGACAGAAGAAGGTAAATAATCTTCAATATAACGCTTATTTTATCACTAACTAAGATCTGAATCAATTTTGTCGAAAAATTTAAAATCATTCTCTGTTTATACAAAAAAAACATAACAGTTAAGAGGATAGTTTAAATCATGAACGGTTTTTTGGAACACTCCTAAAATCTAACAAGCATTGACAAGTTTCATCGTAGTATAGAACTGCTCAGGAATGAGCACTTACAGCCCCACTAGGGTTGGGACGCAGAACCCTCTGTTTTATGGAGAGCTCTTGACCTCCTGATTACTGAGCTTTATCTGACGTTGTTCAATCACGGTGACTTCGAAGCTGTTATTCACAGTAAACAGTAGAAGATAGTTGTACAGTATCTGAACTTAGACATTTAAACCACTAAACGCAGTCTCAATGGTTTAAAGATTAGACCAAAGTTCCTTAGTTTGACTACGGGTTGGATTGTGCATATTCTCTGCTAACAATTCCCACATTATGAAGAAATTTCTGTCTAGTGCTTCTTGTTTTTCAATGATTTTCCAAATATGATCATCCCGTGACGCAAATAAGCAGGATCATTCCGTTTGTTTGAAATTCATTGCCAAAATCAGAAAGAAATAAAAAAGACAAGTTCCCACGTATGGGGCGTAGTTAAACTCATTAGAGAAACGCCCATTTCTACTTCTGATTTCACATAAGATATCAGTGATACTTGTTATGTTAACAAAAGAATATCAGACAATTAAAAGAACTGCTTAAAAAAAAGAAATCAATTTCTTCACAGTATTTACTATTAGTTTGTGGTTTATGGTACTTGTAAATTTTATTTAGTATTTTGGGTGTAACTTCCATCACATAATAAATAAATATTTCATAGTAGAATAATCAGTTTAATAATGAACTCTACTTATGTATAGATTAATATCGATGATTTTATGACTGATTCTAATCTAATTTAAGCTCAATGTGAGTTTTAAGATTTAACCAGAGTTTTTTTATTATCATTTCAGTCGTTTTATGATGGTTGTTAATTTAGGAATCATTTAAACACAATTAATCAGTTTGCGAATTTATTTAATTAGACACAAATTATGGTATGCTCAACAATCTCCTAGCTAAAAAGATTTAATCAGAAGGGATTTTGTGGAGATTTTAGAAATTTCACTGGTTGAAATCATGAGTCAGTTGAAGCTAGGCCACCATGGATGCGCACTGCTGTGGAGTTTCATACTAGGACAAAACGGCCGTCCAGTGCTTCTAAGTTACTTATAGTGATCTAGCTTAAATTGACTCATGATTTCAACCATTGAAATGATCAAAATCTCCACAAAACCCCTGCTGATAAAAAAAAATGATTATCAAAAACAACTATTTGCATAGAGATTGTTTTTCAGGAGAATAATTGTAATTAGTAATAGAATCCAATTCATGAATTTCGTTCCATTTAAGATTCATCAATTGAATTTATACTAACACTAGGATGTAGGTACATTTAATAAGTATCAAATTTGACGAAAACTTCATTTTGAATTCCCTTACTAGCCATATTCAATCTATTTGGGTCAATCCGCCTAGGATGCATATGTCCTAGCTAAGATTAATCAAAATTCATTCAAGACTAAACACAATGTGATGAAGTATTATTAATTAAGTCCGAATACCATTGATTTTTCTTTTGAGTAATATTATTATTAAAACAATTATTTCACATTTGAAATATCTTCAGTTAGTTCTTCATTTAAGGTAATAAAAATGGAGTATTCAGTCTTTCACGAATAGGCGTACAACTTTTACTGAAAACATATTTGTGAGCATAATAAGTATACTTTATGACTTTGAGATGCTGAAGAAGATTTGTTACTCAAATGGATGATTTTGATGGTATCAGTGTGTATGTGGTCTTATCTTCAAGTAGTTCCTCGGCTTTTTTGACGTACTATTTTTTGTCCATAATCACTGTGGTGCGTCCTTTGTCCACTGGAACTATGACAAGATCCTTTCTAGTTCTGAGTTCTTTCAAAGCTTTTTGTTCTTGTGGGGTCAGCTGGTTGTTGTCCTTCATTCAAAATACTTTATGACTCCTGTCGTTTTTCGGCTGTTTACCAGAGGTTTTATAATATTTCAGCTGCTAATTTAAGCTATTTTATACCAACTTGTTAAGTAAACTAAGAATGATAAATAGAAATTACATAATGAAATATTTCAATAATATGCAGAGGTAGTCGTATAGTACTTAAAATCTGCAGGTTCGATTTTTAACAAGAAGCATTAGTTATCTCAAGATTACACTTGAGATTTACTAATGAAGGGTAGCTAGCCACAAAACTTAGATCGAGAAAGTTTCCCTGTAGACTACCTTCAACCACTTAATATATCCAATTAATCATTCTTTATTTTACTTAGTTTAAAATCTTGGCTATTATAAAGCAATAAGCTTATAAGGCATATCACTTTTATAGTTTTCCTATCCATCATATAATATCAATTTCTTATCATCGCCATTTTTTTCATTTTCTCATGAAGCAGGTCGTTATGAATATCGTCAAAGTCTTAGTAAGTTTCATTATTCTCTTCTCAATTCAAATGAATAAAATTCTAATATTGTATTTAATGTGTTAAGCTTAATCTATCTTACTCATCAAGTCACTACTTGTATTTACAACGTAGGGTTAACATATAATAGTTATTATAAAAATGGTTCACATCGCCCCGACCGTTGCTGTTACCTTGATGTAATGGTCGGGATGGCCTATCGTGATGAGCCAGTCGGGCTCCCATCTGATTGTTCGCAATCACTGATCGTCCCAATATATATATATATATAAATATTTTGTTTTAATTCAGTTTTAAATTATCTGATTTCTTATGAAAACCGGAAGTTTTTGGTTCATTCTTATATGTGATAATCGAGTAAGACTACATAAGTTATTCAGCGTTCATTTTCATGGAGAATTTCCATTGTATTTCTTTATCGAATAACGTAGAAGATTTATACCTCAGGTGGAAACTTTTAATGTCGTTCTATTCTCTGAGCTCATTAGTTCCATTCTGAACAACACTAACAGTACTTACTGCACTTAGAAATGAGATTTTTAAGTTTTGCATATACACCAAATCAATCTCTTTTGACGTATTTGTTTGTTTATGATTTCCTTCGAATCATTTCATACAGTTCGTTTTTCTTTATATATATATATATATATTGATTATTTTGTTTCACTGACTTTTGGGCACGATACTCATAATAATCTGCAATTACCATTTGCATCAATATAAACCCTATTTACTGATCTACACAAAAACAATTAAGCGATCATATAAGCACAAGTCAACTAAATATAACAGTCAACAGAAATATAGTTAAAAATGAAACTAACAAAATATTTGAAAACAGCCAGAATATCAACGAAAATCTCACGGTGAAACCTCCACCTCAGACAACTCAACATAATCGAGAGTAACCTGTAAGTAGACTCACCTTGCACACATACATCACTAAGTTTTTGTTTACTTAGTTTATGAATAATTTATTTTTTATATTTATGTATCAGGTGATTATAAGTTTACATTTTTACTCAGACACATTGGTAGTTGAAGTTTTAAAGTCAACCCAGATAAAAGCAACCTACTTTTTTTGCTTTTAAAATGCAAATAAATCTGTGTCGCATAGCAACAGCTCCTTTTTCCTTTGGTTTTGTTTTGTCTCTGTTGTATTTATTTATTATTTTTAGGAATTTCATATATATCTTCATATTCTTTTCTGTCTATACACTGTATGTTCCCCATTTGTTTTTTGATTTTGTTCTCTTTTGTTCTTATTTCTCAAACTCATTTAATCGATTGATCTGTTATTGTAGGGTATGGTTAAAATTCATTTGGATCTGATGCACATTTATTCTTATACTTATACTTTTATATCATATCAGATGCGAATTATTGTTTCAAGTGATTCGATACACGAAGTGTTTTGAAACCTTTTTGTGTCAATCAGGTGATCTCGATTGTTTCTAGGAGTACGTGGGTGGTCGTTACTTCCAGGTTGCCCATATTGGAGAAGAACAATTTTTCTTAAGGTAACTGAAAAGTAAATTGGGTTAGGGATGATCTTAATAACTTGAGAGTGTGATCACAGAGCTCGAAGTATAATTGCTTAGAGTCAGTCATACATTGCCTTTCCCGAGTAGTTCTTGATGTATTGAAGCAGTAAAGACTTTACTGCTGGCGATGGTAGTCCACGGGGGCAATGCGAGATGTACTAATCTCTTATAACCACTCTTAACCTGTAGTCTTCTGAGAGAAATAATTAATTGTCGTGTCCCCTCCATACAGTTGGTAGTACAATTTCAATCTCCTACTTCAAGTTGTGACTTACAGTTTTCCTGTTCTCCAACCTATCCGTTTGGGAGGAAGTATAACCTAAGGGAATAAAGATTCTAACCAACGTAGCTCGACTGTGACATCATGATATGCAAGCCAAACCACCACAACAGGATAACAGTTACGAACACGTAACTATGAGTTTGAACACATTTCACCTAAAGAGCCTAAAGTAGATTATTTTTCATAACATGCACGATAATTTGTTCTAGACTAAAATGTTTGCTGAACTTTTCAGTATTAAAGTTTGAATTAAATATATTACAGTATTTGAATAGAACATTGATTAATGAGTGTTGATCATCTATACTTTTAGAAGATAAGTATCCATCAGGTCAGCAATCTAAATATACTAGAACCATTTAACTTCCATGTTGGTTTTACTTACTGAAAGTGTGTTTGTTAATATGTAATGTGAATGTTTATACTGAAAAGTTTATGACAAATACAATGTAATTTTCAGTATAGGGGTTGTGGAGATTATTAAGTTTTTGATTGAGATCATGAACCGATTGATGTTAGACCAGCGTTGGAAACCTGAAAGCACTGGACGGCCGTTTCGTTCTATTGTGGGACTCATCAGCAGTGCATATCCAAGATCACGCTCGCGGGATTCGAACCCAGGGCCTTCAGTCTCGCACGCAAACGCTTAACCTACTGTAATTTCTAGATTAACTTTGTTTTGTTTTTCTGAAAAAAAATTTAGATTATTGAAAAAGACAATTCTATATGGGTTGTAAATCAGTCTTGATTTAATAACTACATTAAAAAAACCAGATAAAAAACCAGGGAACATTGTAATCAATCTTTATATTCATGACATGAAGGCACATTAATGAGGCGCAATGCTGACTAGTGTTGGAGATGGTTGGAAGGAAGTTAGGGGCGGACAAACCAAAACGTGGCATCAGCGCTTGAATCCACTTACTTCTAGTCTGAGCCTTGTTAGTAGATACAGACTACTTGGTTGGGGTTGACGCGACTTTCATAACCAATGATTGGGGACTCTTGGTGACATTGCTCAAAATCGATCACTACGGCGTTGGTGTATACACTCTCTGTCTTCCCTTAAACTGTGAGATTAAAACCGCCTCATATCTTTCTTTCTACGAACTAATTTCTCTTTTACATATTATCACCAATGAATTAACTACTTCCATGGATCTGGTGTTCGTCTTGCTGTGCTAATGTGGTGTGGCAACTTGGACCGATGCACATATGTGCCTGGTCCTACGTTGTAACTGGCTGACTGACTGACATTAATGACAAACAGCCTAGCAAATATAACTTTTACGTGCTAGTAACGAATCTTCACTACGATTACTTTTCTTTACGATCATGGATGTTTTCATTTAAACATTGGAGACTAAGAAGCTCACCTTTACGTCAAGTCATTGTGCTCAATAGTTGAAACTTATTATGACATGTAAAAATCATAGGTTTGATTTAATATATGAGATGATAGACTTACTATACATGATGAACTCAAAATTAGAATGAAACAACTATCTAATATTCATTAGTTCCATTGGTTATCTAATTCATTTAAACAGATAAAGCAAAATGTCATTCTAAAACTCATTATTAAATATGGAAGTATGTACTGTACCAATTATGTATGAGGAAACTGCTATTATTGTAAATGTTTTTCAATAATCATTTGTTGAATAGTTTTGCTTCACTCTTCATTCTTCTATTCTGTTCTATACTTTATTGAAATATCTTTTTGTTTCTACAGTTTCCAAATTATAACTTATTCTATGTCAATTGGTCTACTCTATCTATTAGTTACTTTTTTACCAACACAATTCAACAATTTTTGCATGAGCATATTTATGTAAATCGAAATTTTCTACTATTACAAATATTACTACTAAAATGACCATTAGTAGTAGTTTGAATAAACAGGTAATAATCAGTTGAAAATAGTCACAATTTCATAATTTACTAACATCAAAATTTATCTAATTTAAGTACAATTTTGGCCATAAGATTATATCATTCTATGAAATTGGTTTATATAGTTAATGTTACAGGATATGGATTTAAACTGGAACTTCATGTATTTCATTACTCAGTTAATCTTTTATGAACACAACTATTACTTATATTAAAGAGGAATTTTTTTCTTTGAAACTTCCGTTATGAATCATTATCATTTGTAAAATGACTAAAAACTAAGGAACTTATAAATTGTATCACAGTAAATTGTGATCTTAATGAAAAATCCCAAGATTATTCAAATTAAACTTTGCACAAATATATATCAATGTTTAATAGTATTCTGAAATTTATCTTAAAAGAAGTGCAGATTAAATTAAGTATTCTGATTTAAAAACTCTAGGCAATATAGTGAGAAACAATAGTACATGAAGCTTAATAAACTAAACATAACTACTAACTCACTTGGTGTTGTTTGTTTGAATCTTCCCATTGATCAGTCTCTTATTAGCATAGGTGCATAGTGTACATATTGCCTTGATATAGCCTTAATTCACAAGCCTTATATGCAAAGAGGGATAGTGGGTAGCAGTGGAATCCAAGAAGAGCGTTTCGTCTTATTTACGACTGGTTAGCTGGATGTACATGCATCCTAGAGTTGATATTCACTCCATTTCTAGCCAGTACCATTCGCTTCAAACGCCATCGTGTTATCTACTTAGCTACTGAGTCCTGTTAACGAGTCCCAAATAGGACAAAAACGCGGGTCTTGGATTTTACTGCTAGCCAATATCAATCCTTGCATATAATGCTTATGAATTAAGGCTATATCAAGGCGATATGCACATATGCTAATAAGGGTATGATCAATTGCAGTCCTAAATAACAATGGGAAGATTCCAACAAACAACATCAAGTGAATTTAAACTTCACCTCATTACACAAGCAATCGGCTAACAGGTCTCAGTAGCTAAGTGGATAACGTGATGGTGTTTGAATCGAATGGTACTGAGTTCGAGTCCCAGAGTGAACATCAACTCTGAGATGCAGGTACATTCAACGGATGAGTCCCGAATAGGAAGAAACACGAGTTCTGAATTCCACTGCCAGACACTATGCATCTTTGCATAACTACTAACTGTTTGCGATTATTTACACTTATGATAAAGAATCTATTGCGAACCATTATTTACTTTATAAAGTAAATGATAATATATTTTGTCCTAGAGATTAGTTTCAGAATAAGTTATAGAATGAAGAATACTAAATCGAATAGTGAATAGAATGCAATAACACTAACCGATTTCTTATTTATATTTGTTTAAATTATATTTATTTCTTCTATTGAACAGATCAATCTGCACCATTGTCGTCAGTCTTTCGTGTACAAGGAGAATATTAAGATCATTGTAATTGTTTTTACATTGTCAACTTCTACTACATTTATCTAACTAGAATTTTTTTCTCTCAATGAAACAAAAAGATGATTCGAAAAAAAATGCATCACTTTCTTTGACAACAAGAACAAGATAACATTGGATTACAACATTGTTTGTATACTAACTACATTGCACAATTACAAATCATTAACGAATGGATTACTTGAAGTTCTTTTGATTGAAATGATAACTTTATAAAAATGTTTCAACAATCTTTACTTTGATTCATTTCTGAAACTTCAAACATCAGGAATTTTGCGATATATTGATGATAGATGATCCTATGTTCCCCTTATTTCTGAATTTGTGTACGTATATCATTTCCTTTATTTATTTGTTGTTAACTATTTGTAATTTTTTTTATAGAAAGAGTAATATCACTAGATGACCAAATTATTGCTTCTAATTTTATAGTAAGAAAATTATATTGGATGAAAAGAGGTGTATAGTGAGAACTGTGATAATTTGTGTCCACTAAATTGATCTAGGTCAGACAATATCGGGACATTGTTTAGTAAACCCAATTCCCTACTGAACTCAAATATGGTTTAACTGTCATGTGTACACCAATTAGAAACTAATCTATCGAGTATGTAGTTTATTCGTGACCATAGAAGATTTCGAGTATGAATTCCAATCAGATTTCCCGAGTTTTGTTGTACAACTAGTTTTTGAACAATAGATGTGTTTACAAATAAGATGTCATAGTTAGTTAAGTATGAAAATGGCACTTCTTGGTGAAGTTTCATTCTTTGCGCTATGTGGTTCAGTTCTGAAGCTTATAAAATCTTTCTAGGCAACAATATCAGAGCAAACTCCAGATAAAAGTGAGCTATTCGAAGTCTCTCACTCATATATCATAGTTTATTCTGTCAATATAGATTAGTTATCACTGACCCTAATTTTTTTGTTGCATGTATATGGAAATGACACTGTTGATTACTACAATGTGGTCCATAATTTTTTTTTGAAAATTCAAACCACTTTTAAGATTTATGAGGAGTAACTTATTACTATGATATTCATTACTGCTAAATCATAAAAATATACAAAACTTGGGAAAAATTATCTTAGAAACCAACTTAGGAGAATTAGTTTATCAATTAGTAGTCTGGAATGGAAAATGTAGTTATGTATAAACTGGTAATTTGTAGCCTTCCATTTCATTACTGTTCAAAATTTAAAATAATTCTTGGAATCAAATAAAATGAACCTATATATCGATCAGATCACATATCAATATCACGCTTTAGAACTCTACAGCGATCTATCCCAATTTTGGATTATTTCACTCACTTTCAACAAGTGGCTGTACTCGCAACGACAGAACATAGACGATTTAAGCGTTACCACTGTCAATTTCGTCATTAACATACTTCATTGTATGTGTTACTGCATTTTTTTTATACGCAAAGCGTTCGATAAGATTTTACTGTGCTGGGATCTAGAGGTTACCAGAGTGAGAATAAGATTAGTCAAGAAAATGTCAACTTTTACGTCACGTTCATATTCTGATAAAATATAACACGAGCAACGAACCTAAATGAACTGAATCTTAACCATTTTCCTTTATATCTTGTTGGTACATTGCCTATAACGTATAGAACTCGGTTGATGAAAGGTGGTATTATTGACAACGAAACCTTGTTCCGAAGCTTTCTTACATTATCACGACAGATTTCGACCCTACTATGATTTTCCAAACTACGAAAGCTATTTTTCGGGACGTTATTCTATTTTATTCAAAGCTTGTAAAACACTGACATTTATTTTTGTCCCTAATCTATTCTACAGAACATAAGCTTTCGTTCGATGTATGATTAACTGCCATACAATTTTCTGTTCCGAAGCTACTGTAATTTAAACATAATATTTTGCACCCTATTTTCAACGTTAATTCCCGGCTTTGGACATAATTGTATTTTTCCTAGTTATCGTACGTTGTGGTCGGGTTATTCACCTATTTATTCATGTACCTTTTTACACTAATCAAAATAAGGGAAATCAGGAATAGATCGAGTAGTGTTCCACTTGTCTTCTCTCATTTGCGTGCTTGTCAGCCAAACAGGTGATAGAATAGTTTTCTTCTCTCTACCCCATTTCGAACTCACGTGTACTAGCCTCAAGGTTAGGTCGGTCAGCCTATCGCGCCAAGGTCTTAACCTGGATTAGACAAGTATCCTCAGCACCAAAACTGAGTAGACAGACCAAAGAACATAACAACTGACCACATAGTTATATCGAATAAACTAGTCAAGACTATACAAAATAATCAATAAGACAAGGATCAGATCATAATCACTACCATTTTATTTTTTAGACCAAATGACAAAAAAAGTAAAAAGAAACAAAACAAATAGAAGTTATTATGACAATAGATACTGATACAAAATATAAAATATTATCCTGGTACACTTGGAGCGTAATGTTTTGCGCAACGTGTAAATTCATCCTCCTATAAAATAACATAAGAATTAGTTGTTGTTTTTTTTCTAAAGTGAATGGTTTAATTACCTTCTCTGCATAATCTACAAGGAATGGATGATCCTTACAACAATCCCGTAGTTGAGATATTAATCTGTTGATAGTCTGTTTTTTTTTATAAAAAAAAGAAAAGTGGACAATTCAAGTTTTGTTGTTTTAAAATAAACACATTCTTACCTCAGTCGGTTTTCCTAAATGATGATAAACCACAATCATATTTACAATTGTATCAGGATTATTACCATCCTAGAAAAATGTAACGAATATACATACGAATATTATAAATAAGATTCTTTTAGGAAAATAAATCTGTATAGTGTTATGCTAATAATACACTTTTTCGTAAATCATAACTAGTATTAAAAATATTACAGAATGTGCTTAACAGAGATAAAAATTTGCACCACTGTTATAATTTGTGGCCTAAGTTCCCTGCTAATGTAGAACGTAACGATAATGCCAATCAGAGAACCGTGACTTATCGATCGGATCAATGACGCATAAAACAAGTACGAACAGTCTAGAGTCCTTATCGATCCTGCTTTCCGCCTAGCCTAGCCTGTTAAGTCTAGAACGCCAATCTTAGCCTCTGCAATATGAGTCATTTATTTCAAACATACGGGGTTTATATACCAATCAAACAGACCACAACGTACCATAAAATAGAAAATAACATTTGTAAAAGATTTAGCCAAATGTGGGAGGTAGTGGACTAATAAACAGGACATAATTCAAGAATGGTAAATCGTATAATAATAATTCATAGGTCAAGATAAAGCTTATAAGAGGGACATGAATATGTATAGTTTAGTTATGTAACACTGATACAAATAAAAATATACGCATAGTATTGGTCCATAAATGGATTCCAAAAGTTACCATTCATTATGCTTATCCGGACCTAACCAAACCACAATACCCAAAATACATTTCACAATAACAGACAGACACAATCTTACACAATAAAGCTGTATACTATACTTTTATTAATTTATTTGAACACATAAGCATTGGTACATGGGAGTACTATATGGGCCACATAATAACAATGAGGTTGTGGAGATAAAGAGTGGGAAATGAGTACAATAAAAGAAGAGAAACAAAGAACAGAAATTAGTGTATGACAGTAAAATAATAAGAGCAGTTTTGCTCTCATGTTGATAGATGTTATTGATTGATATCCCTTCAGCTTCACAAACTTTTTCACTCACACCAAACTTCTTACTGCCAGTGAATCGGATGAGCTGAAAGAGCTTCTGGCAGTTAACACAAGCAACTGATCTTTCCAACTCGTTTGAACGCTTCGACCACCAAGCTTCTCAGTCCTTACACAAGGATTGCACAGTTCTGTTGCGTAACAATCCTCACTTATAGTCAAACTCGCGGTCACCCGGGCTCCAATGAGTTATAAGGAGCCTGAAGAAACCCAATGCTTATAAACAGGATGTTTCGCGAAATCACAAGTGTCTTTACTCACCATTTTCATGGCGTCATGCAATTGCAACCAATGCTTATCTATACTTTTCGGTGGGATGATGGCTAGCCTTGAACATAGCTTGGTTTGATATTTAGTTGCAACAGAAGATGGAAGTGACCCGTTTAGGACGAAGAATTTGCTGACCGCTGAAACTCAAGATAAGATTTGCGCCAGCAAGGACATCATCAGAGTCCAGATAAGTACTCCAAAAGAAGCGACAGTCCTGTACACAGCCACACCCGCGGTAGCTGGTTGCGGTGTGATCAATTTGAGTCCAGATTTGAGATGCAGAGGACTCCAGGTAGCACATAGGTAATGACTGTGGCGATAACAAGTGCTAGTCAGAAATAGGTTGTAGTCTGAGCAAAGTTGCTGTAGACGGTTACCGTTATCTGATCTGAGACCAACAAGTTCACATTGGCCATCTAAATGACTCTTCTGTGCCTAGACGCCCGACCTACGCATTCAAGTCTTTGGCTAGTACTACAGAATCTGTCGAACAAACTTTCTGTATAAGAAGACCTAACTGGTGATAAAACTTATCCCTCATTGCATTTGGGTTGCATTATGGGCAATCATTACACCATCATATGAGTAGAATCCTGTACGTTAACAATGCGGAGTCAAACTACTTGCAGAATGAATAATTAAATTTCTAAAATATCAATCAGATTATTTAGAGGGAATAAATATTGATAAACAACTATCTCTTCCTAAAATAGTCGTATTGAGAATTTATGATAAAACTTGTAAACTTTTGTACATCTCAAATAAACGGGGAGATAGAAGACGTTTTCGTTTATTTAGTTCGTCCTTTCAGAGATGGTTTTTGCACACCGAAAAATAAATAAGTAATAAACTAACCAAATCAATAGCTTCTTGAAGGACTGGCTCGGCTTCAACCCAATTATTCATACCCATCAAAGCTGCAGCCTGACCATTTAACAGTAAAGTTGAAGGTCCATGTTTTTCTTTAAGTTCTTCATATATGTGAATGGCTTCTTGTAGCTGATCACCGCCCTGGACAAAATGAATATCATTTATAAAGCGAAGTACAATGGTGGGATGCATATGCTTTTTTGACCAACACTATTAGGAACATACTTTTTTCACGTAGTATAAAGCTGCGGCAAGTTGTGCTGCTAAAGAATCTTCATCTGCAGTTTGCATACGTCGAACAGCCTTGCCAGCAAGATCACAACGATTCATGTGAAGTAGACACTGAACTGTTAAAGCGTTGCTAAAAGGAAAAGTGACTTAAGATATTAGGCTTTCCTATAATTTCTCAAAAATGCTAACATTCTGTAATAAACTTATCAAACTAGGATTAACTAGAAATAAAAACCAAAACAAACTAGTCTTGAGTTTACATGACCATAGGGAGATAAATAAACGGATTAGTGAGCCATAAGTGTTAGCGGGACATAGACTGGATTAAAGCATCCCCAGTGCACGATTGCTTTGGTGCACACTGATTGGCTAATTCTTATCCAATCAGCACTAGTCGATAGTTGGAGAATACTCTAGAATCTTCCCATGTAAAAACTATAAATATACTGACGTTTTCCCTATTGTGCTTCTTGCTTCCATCTAACCTTGTTATTTGGAATATAATCTCTTTCCTGTTCAACCGTGTTCTGGTTTGGGGACTTGTCGAGTGATTCGGTGTCCAAGAATACTAAGCAATAAGAATAGCTGGGTCATACTGTAAGAAAGAGATTATAACAAACAGTGATGTAGTTACATGTTTATGTGATTATAATAATGCTGACAGTCCGACAAACTAAAGAAGCCAACTAGACTATTGTAGACGTTACAAAGTGAAAAAAATTGATAGAGCTAAGAATAAAAATTTATTTACATGATAATTGTATTGTAGTTTTCTGACTCATTAGTCACAGTACTAAGCGTCCATAATTATAGAATTACACATATTTTAGCCAGATCTTTAACTGAGGGGGCTAATGGCTACCTTAGAATCAGGAAGATTACAAACGTGAATTTTCTTATATGTTTAGTCAGTCAGATACAGTGTATGACCAGGTAAACATATGCATCGATCCAAGTTGCCATTCCTCATTAGCACAACAAGAACCCCAAATTCATAGCAGTTGTTTCAATGGTAGTAATATATAGAAGATTGCATATAAGGATATAATACAGGGAAGAAAGAATTAGTTAGTAGAAAGGTATAAAGTAATTTTAATTACAAGGCTCAAGGGAAGACAAAGAGTGTATACACATAAGCCATTGTCATCGATTCTGAGCCATATCACCCAGTCTCCAACCCTTGGTTACGATGGTCACGCGGATCCCAACTAAGTAGTCTGTATCTACCAATACGGCTCAGACTAGAAGTCAGTGACTTTATGTACTGATGCAACACTTCGCTTTTATCGTCCCTTACCTTTCTTCCAACAGTCTCCAACACTATTCAGCATTGCGTGCCCTGATAATCGATGGTTGGGGATGTGTAATAGGTGGCCCACCAATTCAGTCGATGTAGAATCACAACCTCATCAACTGATTTGCCATCAAACTAACTTTTTGAATTCATGTAGACTTCGTCAGACACCAACACATTAGGGCTGATTAGGTGCACTCCAAGCATCCTGGCATTGTTGCTCAGAGTTGCCAAAACACTGCATTATATCAACATATTCGCCAAACAGAACTATGCCATCTGCATATTCTAAGTCAATAAGTGAAACTCCTGGAAAGACATCAATTCCTGAAAATTCACTTGACGAGAACTTTATTTCCAGCAGTAAGTATGAAGTTGAACAAAAATGGAGACAGTGGACAGTCTCATCAGACACCACTTGAAGTTACAAAATCACATGACAGTTCGCCTTAAGCTCTCACTCGACTGGTAGTGTTCGATTAAAGAGTCTTTACAAGTTTTATGTACTTCTGAGGCACACCTTTCAATGATAGATACTACCACAAAACATCTCGGTCTACAGATTCAAATGCTGCTTTTAAGTCAAGAAGGACGACTGTTGTCGGACGCCGATAAGCATGTCTGTGTTTTAAAATCTGATGAGTGATGAATATGTGGTAGAGTAGCTGAAGGTCAGTTGAACTGCTTCTTGATGTTCCGCCCATCGTTCTAAACGTCTGGACTGAGAGTAGATAAGTGTCGTCTTTCTCCTAAATTGTTACACTTACAGTTGACTTCTTAATTCCGGTTTCTTTTATTAGTCCAAAAAGATGTCTGGTGTTAACTACAGCTGCTGCCTTCACCATCTCTTTTGCTTTCGTGTGCGTTTACAGGACCGATCTTTTTTAACCCCACCCTTTCTTATGGGAAGGTAGCATTGCTGTTACGCTGGTTGTCTGACGAAAAACCTTACTGCCGTCACACCTCTGTATGGTCAGCAGTACGACTTTGCTCCCGGATCTTGAGTTTGCTGCTTTTAGTCTCACCGCTCTTCGGCCGACCTGTCTGGCATGGTGGGACCTTGGGGAACGAAAGCTTCAGCCAGTATAGCTTGACTGGTTTATCATGTTAAGCAAGACCGACCACTATGTTGAGGTAGCAACGAATCGGGTTTCTTACGTAGTTGTCATCATGAAATCTACCAATGACTGAGTGAACGGTTTATAGTTGCTTTTCATACCAGGATTTTTTCAAGTAATGTCATTTCACACTCAGTGACAATATTAGCGATGAGCACAAAGGCTAACAAGCATGAAAGGGAAATGAAACTGACAATTTTTTACTGAGAAGCAAGGTAATACAATGCAAGAATCGAACCCGTATAAATGTATAATGAATTAGAGATACTACTGTAAGCTTAACGAATCCCCTCTTTTCTCTGGACTAGCCTAACATAAAATTGTATTCTTACAAATTTAAATACGAAGACATACTATCACTTTCAAACTGCGAATATTTATGTCGTGTGACCGAGTAAATTCCAGTAGCTGCAAAACGATGTCAATTGTTTTTAAAGGTGTTGTCCTAGGTGGTTATTACGCTAAATGTAATTGCCGACTCTTATATATCAGGAGCTACTCAAGTCACAGATTACCATAACGACTTCAAAAGCAATTATATGAACTACCAACTAAAGGTTTGTTTCTGAAACCCTGAATTATGACATTCCACACTGAACATGGTTTTACAAGAGAAACTCACCAGTACGTGTCGCTCCCATTATTTAAGGTTTTCAAAGCATATTCCACCATCTAAAGTGAGACAAACGAATTAGTACTAACTTACATTTAAATGAAGATATATAGTTGCTGCAATGACAATCGCACTTTGGCTTAAATCCATATGTTGTTCCAGTATTCTGTCAAGCTGTTTTACCACAGTGTCCCTTCAAATATAGAAAAACATTAAAGGTTTGCCGCCATTATTAATGGAATATAGACATACTCAGATATACCTTTCGAAAGGTACGTCGCCAAGAGCCTAAGAAGCTTCAGCTCTGGATCTTTGGCGTCCTCAGGAATTTCATCGAGCACAACTCCGTACTTTTTTTGAGCTATGTACACTTGATAAGTAAGCACATTAGCCTGCAATTCTACGTCTGAAGAACCCGACTATAATAAAATTAAAATATAATACACTATATTACCTTCAACTTTTGAATTGTTTTAAGAGCCAGTTGATGTTGTCCCAAAATGAAAGCACACTGAGCATCTAACAGTACTAGTTCATCACTCATATTCGGCTGCCACCTAGCAACTAAGTAACGCAACACGTGAAAGTCCGGTGCAACTTCCAATTCAAATGGTTTCAATATCTACATGATGACCTCCCAACCATTAGTGTACCATTGTTCAACATTTATTTAAAATCTTTTTTGATGCTAACCACATTTAATTATTTTTTTTGGAAGTCGGGAAAAATAAGGGCATACCAGGTGCAAATTTATCACTATGTAATTAAAATACTGTGATAAAGTGGCCTCTGGTTCTTCTATATGGTAATAAAATCAGGTGGAGTTTATCCAGTCTGTTATCATACGGGAGCTTTGCTATTCCGGGAATCGGCTTAGTTGCAGTTCTTTGAATCTGTGCTGACTCACTTTTATCACGAGAACACGACTGGTTTAATGAAAACAATTATTATTATAACTAACTGTACAAGTGCTTGTTTTAATGTGCTTTTGTTTAACTGTGCTAACTACAGCCATTTTTGTGCTTCCATCACCCTCCATCATTGTTGCGCGGTTTTTGGCTTTCTTCGCACGTACTCCATTCTCCTGCTTTCGCTTGTACCATTTCTTGACACGATCTTGGTATTCGTTCGATACCACGAGATCGCCAACGAAATAAATCTGGTTACGTTCAACCTATGCCTTCTGGTTTGTTTGGTACGCGTTTCCTTGTGGTGGCATTCATAGTCAATCTCGACTCGACACCACGCTACAAACCCTTCCCAACAACTCACCGTCTCTTATTAGGTGAGGGCTAGCTGCTTGTATGCGGAACTCAAGTTTACGATGCACGAATACTGTATACATGTCATTTTCAAGCTCTAAACTATCATCTTTGCTTTTTATCACTCTCCACATCCTTGCATCGTCGGCCTATAACGAAACCGATGATGATAGTGTGGTGAGCTACTTTTATTCAGAGAACGTGTAACAGCTTGGGTTGTTTGGAGTTCACCTCAAACAACTAAGCATATGTCAAAACAGTATAGTTCAAGTATTCATTCATTTCCTTATTTTGTATAGGCGTTATATTTTCTATTATCTTATATTGAATGTTGAGAGGCTTTGTTTGTCTGAACAAATAATCCCACGCTTCACTGAGACTGCACGAAGATCTAAATAAATACCTTTTCAGTACTTGTCTGGTTTCTTCTATCAACAGCACGAGGTTTACCTAAAGGCACGAAAACGCAATTGTCTGTTATGGTCGCTTCTCATATTTGGCCTACGGGGGATCTTATCGGTTAACTGGCACATAGTCTTCCCGTATTGTGATCATAGTCAACCGCGACTCAACGCCATGCTACAACTGGTGAGCCAAAGCTGGGAAAACGTCTCAACCTCTGGAAAATCTCCCAAGGAAGACTGCTACGGTGAATCTATCCACGTCTGTTGCACATTTTCATATTGGTATTTTCCAATATATAATATTCTGGCAACAACTTGAGATGACGGATAACGATAAGAATGGTATTAATATAATAGACACCGATGTATGCGTATCAGATCCTAGGTGCCTTTCATTCACGTGACGATATATTCCACGCTTTATTCGAGAAAGTTCCCCAATTAACTACTCACCTCACTGACCCGGCTGCTTGGTACAGAACGCATACGCACTACCGCCTGCCACCCAGCATCAAATGATTAAGTTGAACGGCTTCATTGCCAGCTTTAAAGTGCTCTTCGAGTACACGAAAACAACAATTGGTACGAAACCTTACTGCTCGTCCTCTTAGGTATCAGAACGAGCTTAGGGGCAGATATTCAATGTTCCATCGCTGAGCTTGTATATGGCTCGACATTGCGTCTTCCTGGAAAATTTTTCACACCACGTAGCGGTAACGATTTTAGTAAACCAGACTGCGTTCAACGACTGTCCGAATTCGTTCGAACGCTGGCCCTGTTGTCAACTCGAATACAACATCGACAGGTCGCTCTCCCTCGAGAGTTATCTACTTGTTAACATGTTTTCATACGAGTAGATTCCGTACTCAAGCCTCTGCAACAGCCTTACGAAAGACCTTTCCATGTGATTTCTCGTCACGAAATCACCTTCAAGGTTGATCTACATGGTCGCGTCGAAATCGTCAGCATTGATCGTATCGAACCAGCCCACATCGACGACAGTGCCCTACCTGATAAGTTGAAACTCAATGCTAGACCCATCAAACCTATTAGCGGGATCCCTACATGTACATCAGATACATCAGAGACCTCATTCTCACGTCTCAGTCGACAACATGTGTCGTCTGCAACATCTACGGACGAGACTTCAGTCTCACATCCAGATCAGCAAACCACGCTGCCCTTGACTTCGGATGAGATTGCAGGCTCACGAAGTACGAACGAGATTAGAGTCTCACGTTCTGGTCGGTGAGTACGCCTACCCATATGCCTTCGCAACTAACCGCCCAATCAACAACAAATACGGCACAGGACTCTACCCCTATACTTCATGCATGCTACAACTTTTCTCTTTTTCTTTAATTTTTTTGTATCTTGAGCCAACGCCTCCGACCATCGTCCGTTTGGTATTGTCGACTTCAGTCAATTTTGGCGAAAGCTGGCCTGATCACCTACTCTCTTGCCAACGAACTCAGTCGGTGTTCTGGTTCCGCATATGTCTGGCATACATTTGGTCTCGCATTTGGTTGTTATGGTCGCTTCTGGTTTCTTCGTTCAACGTGGTTTTGTCCTACGTCTGCACCGTTTTGTGATCCGGACCCATACGAACTCAATCCTCAGATCCTGGAGACAAACCAATCTGGTGTGGTACGCTAACTCGAGCAACAGATACAGCACATTCCTTCTGGTACCGTTCTACGTAAAAGACCTTCGGTGACAACTCGAGGATTAATTATCGCTTCTTGTTATGCCAACCATATCGTCATACAGTAGCACGTTTGCTGATTAGTCACACGAACGAAACTGCTACGTATCAAAAGTGTTAACCTTTTCTAGCGGATAGCTCTCGTAGTGACCTACGTTTATCAAGAGAACTCGATTGGTGTAATGAAAACAATTATTATTATAACTAATTGTAACGCGGATTGTTTTACCGTACTTGTTTGTTTAACTGTACCAAAACACATACATTCTTCCGTTGATTGTGAACTTGCACGATCTCGGTATTCTTTCGATACCACGAGATCGCCAACAAAGACATCTCGACTACAGCCATCAACTGCCTTCTGGTATTTGGCTTACGGTGGATCTTATCGGTTGACTGGCACGTAGTCTTCCTGTAGTGGTGATCATAGTCAGGCACGACTCGACGCCACACTAAATTGTGAATTATCTAGCAAAACGAAAATTTACTGGGAGAACAGTGACACCAATTACGGAATTGTTCAGAGGCCAGGTAATTCGCAACGAATCAATCAGAACCATGAATAGGAATAATTAAAATTTTATTTGATTCGTATGATGTGGATTACTTTAAGTATAGGTAGAAACTTCCAGAGGTGAAGATATTTCAAACTACGTGAATGTGGTGTTTGAATGAACTGGTGATTTCTTTGTACTTGTTGAATGCTTGATTTCGTATTCTAAATACAGTACACTCGTATGTGCTTATCTAGTACTTCTTGATTCAATTGCGTTATTTCTGGGACTCTTAGTTCGTACTATAATTCAAATAATTCGAAACATTATAGTGAGTTGACTAAGTTTCACTTACAGGTGGCTGTTTTAAATGATGAGGCAAACATTCCATAGAGCTAACGATTTCGTCAGTTTTAATGGCCATTACTAGCTGAATGCGATTACTCAAGTGCCACTGTCGGATCAGGGCATGGTTCAAGATGATGTTCTTTGTAGTCAGTATATGAGTCTCATGTTCCTCCAGCTCTGCTGAAAATCTGGTGTGAAATTATTCCAAATTACCGTCCTTTGATTTATCTTCAAGACAAAATTTTTGTGGATTAAAACTATCTAATTCGGCTTATTTAGAGTAACTTCAAACTTATTTTTCATAGTTCAATGTTTTTTAAACAGTAGTCCCAGTAAATTACTGAGAAAAAGATCTGAATTATATTTTTTTTATCCAGTGGATAATTTCACCAAGTGCAAATTAAAACCTTGCTACCAAATAAAGTGTTGAACCCACAATTGGTTGATCACTGGGTGGTGATCAATGTCATGTGTGTCAAGTCCTTATTTTGTGCAGACCGTATGCTATCGACCATGTTATGATTTGGCCACCAGTCTAGGTGACTCAACATTGCGGGCATTATATGTTGAGATTAGACGGTGGTTGGAGGTAGTCGACAGGAGACCCTGGACCCGGGTTTCGTGCTACTTGGCACTCGTCAGCAAGGTGTACCTGTAATCTTGTGGGAACTGATGCTCCCTTACGGATTCGGTCCAGTGTCACCCAGCTTCACGGTCAAAGACGTTACCACTGTGGCGTCGAGTCGTGCCTGACTATGATCACCACTACAGGAAGACTACGTGCCAGTCAACCGATAAGATCCACCGTAAGCCAAATACCAGAAGGCAGTTGATGGCTGTAGTCGAGATGTCTTTGTTGGCGATCTCGTGGTATCGAAAGAATACCGAGATCGTGCAAGTTCACAATCAACGGAAGAATGTATGTGTTTTGGTACAGTTAAACAAACAAGTACGGTAAAACAATCCGCGTTACAATTAGTTATAATAATAATTGTTTTCATTACACCAATCGAGTTCTCTTGATAAAAGTAGGTCACTACAGCATTCTGAAAATAGGCTTCAAACTCTAACACTTTTGTTAGAACGTAGCATTCTGAGAAAGTCATTTTATTGTAAAACAAAGTCGATGCTCTATCGGAAACATAAATGGCATGTAAACATGTGTGTTGCATATCACCCTGCTTATCAATTTACATATGTGTGGTCATACGCAAAGACGGGGTGAGAAATGATGATTTGCGAATTAGGGTTTCTGAACGTGTTCTAAGGTGGTTGCAAAAGCAAATAAGATCGATAAGTTCAATAAGACTAGACGACAAATATCCATCGCGCACTGTTGCTAAACTCAGTTGAAACATGTCATAAAGTTGATTTTAACACGGTTTTTTCGGTGT